AGAGGAGAAAACAAAGTCTTTTCCTGGTTCTGAGGTTTAAAAAAAATTAAAAATATCGGAAGAGGACTGAAGTATAAACAAAGAAAAAAAATTTTTAATTATTCCAAATTATATCTCTGATATAAAAGAAATTTCCAAATTTATTCCTGTTTGTCTTCACTGAGTCTAAAAGACATAAATAGTTAATTGAAGAGTCCATCTTAAAATCCAAGACTGAGCACAGTGGCTAACACCTGTAATCCTAGCACTTTGGGAGGTGGAAGCAGGAGGATCACTTGAAGTCAGGAATTTACCACCATGGGCAACATAGCAAAATCCTATCTCTACAAAAGTAAAAAAACTAGTTGGGCATGGCAGCACATGCCTGTAGTCCCAGCTATTTGGGAGGCGAGGCAGGAGGATCACTTGAAGCCAAGAGTTCAAGGCTATGGTGAACTATGATTGCACCATGGTACTCCAGCCTGGGAAAAAGAGCAAGACCTTATTTTTTAAAAATATGTATATATATAAAATAGCAGGTAGGAAAAGAATGAGCAAAGCAACCTTAAAAATTGTTATCTACTGTCCCAAGAACAGCCTTAAATTTCAATTGGAACTACAGACGGTCCATTTATGGAAGCAACTACTTTTTAGATCTGGAGGACAATGTGGGAACTCTCTTCCAGGGGGTGTCAAAGCGAGGTCGCTTGGTGACCCCAGGCAACCCAGCGAGTATCCTCACCTGCCCGGTGCTATGCTAGCCTGAGCCAGAGCACTTTTGAGGAACAACAGGGAAAACCAGCGACCTGGGAAGCTGCAGGTGGGAAGGCTCGAGAAGGAGAGGAAGGCAGGCGGGTCAGCTGGCTGCAGCGCTACGTGCTTCTCTCACAGGACAGCTAAGCGCAATTAAAAACAGAAGACAAAAATAACTTACTGTGTAGGCAATTAACTCTGGTTGGCATAGCGATCCTCTTAAGTTAAAGGAACAAGCACGAGACAGAGAGAAGTGAAAGGTATAAAGAATTATGCAAGAGCAACATCAGAATGAAAGCCACCGGCATCACACGCACACAGGAAGTCACTGAGCAGCACATTTGGCAAGGGTTTCATTGTTCAATTTTTTTTTTTAAACCTCCCTCAATACTTTTGTTTTTACTTGTGGTAAAATACACATAATAGGTTGAGTGTGGTAGCTCGCATCTGTAATCCCAGCACTTTGGGAGGCTGAGATGGGAGGATTGCTTGAGGCCAGGAGTTTGAGACCAGACTGGGAAAAATGGCAAGACCTTGTCTCTACAAAACAAACAAACAAACAAACAAACAACTAGCTGGAGCCGGGCTTGGTGGCTCAGTCTATAATCCTGTGCCTTTGGGAGGCTGAGTTGAGTGGATTACCTGAGCCCGCGGGTTCAAGACCTGCCTAGGCAACTTGGTGAGACCTCATCTCTACAATAAATAAAAAATTGCCGGGCGTGGTAGTGCATGCCTGTAGTTCCAGCTACTTGGAAGGCTGAGGCAGAAGGATTGCCGGAGCCCAGCAGGTGGAGGCTACGGTGGCCAGGAGGGGCCACAGCACTACAGTCTGGGCGACAAACTGAGACTCCAACTCAAAAAAAAACCCAAAAAAACCAAAAAACTAGCTGGGCATGGTGGTAAGCACTTGTAGTCTTAGCTACTCTAGAGGCTGCAGCAGAAGGATTGCCTGAGCCCAGGAGATCAAGGTTGTGGTGAGCCTGGATGACACAGAGTAAGACTGCGACTAAAAAAACAAAATCAAAAAGCAAAACAAAACAAAAAACCCATGACATGCCCTCTTAGCCATCTCTACACACAGTTTAGTGGTGTTGAATACATTCACAGTGTTGGGCCAGCATGTTGATGCTTTTTTGAACTAAAAATAAACCTGAAATTTTAGAATAAATTTCCTGCATTGGCAGTAGCATCACAAATGTACGTTTCCAGTCAGCAAGTTTCCAGGAGAATTCTAAATAGATGGGCACTCTCAGAAGCCTAGCACAAACTCCTTGCTATCACAGAAGATACAGGTGTTCTTAAACCAAAAAAGAAACAACAACAAAAAAAGATAAACCATCTGGCACCCATAACAAAGAATCATTTAAGGTTCCGACAGAATGTTATCAAGATGCTAAGCACAAATCCCTTAAAAAAAAAAAACCAAAACACTGAACTGAAAAACAATTTTATTTATGTATTTATTTTGAGACAGTGTCTCAATCTGTTGCCCAGGTTGAAGTGCAGTGTAGTGATTATAGGTCACTGCAGCCTTGAGATCCTGGACTCATGCAACCCTCCTACCTCAGCCTCCCAAGTAGCTAGGACTACAGGCTTGTGGCACCAAGTCTAGCTCATTTTCTTTTTTTATTTCTTATTTTTTATAGAGATGAGGGTCTTGCTATGTTGCTCAGGCTGGTCTCAAACTCCTGGCCTCCAGTGATCCTCCCGCCTTGGCCTGCCAAAGTACTGAGATTACAGGTGTAAGCGATGGTGTCTGACCTCCTTACCCCCAAATAACTTTGAAACTGCTGCCAAATATATCTTTTTAAGAAAGCTTGGGTCAAGGCAGTAGCTCCACAAGAGTGAAACGCACTGCATGGCTAAGGCTCTTTGCTGCGTTCCCAAATTCCAAACCTCGGGGAAGCTTGAAGCCTGTGCTAGAGGCAGCCTGAGGTACCAGCCCAACACCCAGGTCCCCAGAGGGCACCTACCAGTGAGGGGGAGAGAACCAGGGTGGCTGAACAGCAAGGATGGAAACCCAGGGAAAGAACTCTCTAGAAGGAAAGTCAGAGGGAAGAGGAAGGACCAGGTGGAGAAGCACGTTCTTTGATGAATGGGAGGAGGGGTGTGGAGGTGAGGGGCTAAGGCTTGGCATTTCAGAATGAATGAGGAGGGTGGACTGGGGGTGGGGGGCTGAGTCTTGCAAGGACAAAAGGAAAGGGACCATGAGTCAAAGAAGGGAGAGGAGAGGTCCTCGCACCTGTGCCCTGCAATCACCCCTCCTCAGTCTCACGCCTCCCTGGACTTCTCCAACAAAGACAAAGACCATGCCAGAGGTGTGTGTGTGTCAGGCAACCAGGTCACCTTTGGCATAACCAGGTCAAAGCTTTCAAAAAGAAGCATGGGAGCCTGCCATAGGGATCAGTGTGCAGTTGACAGTCCCTCACCCCTCTGGGGATGCAGGTCCACGCATATGGTCACTCAAGGCCAGACAGTTGGTCCACAGAGGTTGAGGGTCTGGCCAACTCACCAGGGAATGTCCTCCTCCTGGCCCTCCCTCCTCTCCTCACGTTCAACCCTTCCCCACACCTATTCCAATCTACACTGGCAAGAGGGCGGACACGGGACTGAGTGACCACCATGCCATAGCTCAGAGACATGAAGCAAAAATGGGGACAGGGGCTGAGGATGGACTCAGCCCATGGCACCAGGGACACCCAGGATGGATGGATAAGCCATGCTGTATGGCTGCCTCGTGGCTGGGCTGTCCTGTGCCCTGCAGGGTGCTGGGTGGCACCCCCAGCTCTGCCCACTGGACACCAGCTGCACCCAACTCCCAGCTAGCTGTGATAACTAAACCAGTGCCCTGACACTGCCAATACTCCCTGGGGGGAAAACTGCCAGATCTGAGAGCCCCTGGTCCACAGCAACAAGAACAGAGGGCAAGAGAGGCAGGAAAGCCGACCACAGACCCATCCTTGGGAGCCACTGGGATTTCCCGGAACAGATAGTGTCAGGGAGTACCAGGATCCTGCTGGAAGCCTTAGAGCCCACACTGGGCAGAGCCAGGAGCTGGCGCTGCGTTTGACTCCAAGCCGGCGGCTTGGCTCAAGTATCTACCTCCAGCCCAGGCCTGGTCACTGCACTAGAGTCTCTGTGTTGCCCTCAAAGTGGTGGAGTTCAGTGAGCATACAAAATGGGCATGGCCCCGGATATATAAGTTTTTTTGGCCAAATAAACTTATTTATTTGCATTGGGGTCTCAGCCTGTCACCCAGATTGGAGTACAGTGGCACAATCACAGCTCATGGTGGCTTTGACCTCTTGAGCTCAGGCAATCTTCCTGCTTCAGCCTCCAAGTAGCTGGGACTACAGGTATGTGCCATCATGCTGGCTATTTTTTTTTTTTTTAATTTTTTGTAGAAACAAGGTCTCACTATATGGCCCGAGCTGATCTCAAACTCTTGGGCTCAAGCAATCCTCCCACCTTGGCCTCCCAAAGTGCTGGATTACAAGCATGAGCCACCATGCCTAACTATGACTCCATTTTAAGGAGAAGGAAGCAAGGACTTAGTGGCTCTCACATCTAGAAGCGACCCCAAGCCCCTGGACTATATTCCCCAAGCAAACAGACTGAGATTGCTGTTATGCCGAGGCACTGCTGGGTAAAATTGCACAAGCTGAAGAAAAACAGACTTGAAAGCTTTGACTTGGTGCTAACAGAAAACAATCGATGAGGTAATGAGATGATTACCTCATCACCACCTCTATATTAAGTTTATCAGTGAGTTATTTCAGGAAGCTCCTCTCTTTGCAGACCCAGGGAGGTTAAGGTGGTGAGGCTGGTTTTGTTCTAGTTGAGGGCAGAGCCTGAGAGAATGCGTGAGTAGGGGTGGCACCCTCCACAGTGAGAGGAGCCCCAGTCTCTATCCAGCATTGCTCTGAGTCTCTGTGGCCCCGCCACTGAGTATGGCTCTTGGTGACCCCTCTGAAAGCCAGTGGAGTGAACCCAGATTGAGGAAGGAGCCCTCTAGACATGAACACAAACTGGCTCCAAATGCAGAAAGATGACCCAGACACACACAGGACAGGATGTGGCCCCACTGTGGGCTCTAAATAGGCTCATTCAGCACAGTTGTTTTTGGAGGGGTGGAAGTTGGGGGGGCTGAGGCTGGGATGGGGTTTATAGGAAACAAAGGGAAAGAAAGCAGGTGACAGAGCTAAAATGGAGCTTGGCACAAGAGTGAAGGCCCCAAGCAGAGGCCTGGGGGACTCGTGAGCAGGTACCTTTATGCCTCTTGGCTGCGCCTGACTCCGAAACACTCAGGGAGCTCTCCGACAGCTCGTCCCCGTCGGGGTCCAGCAGGGCTGGGTCACCCCATGCTGTGGCCTGCGACTCCTCCAAGTCCCAGGCATCTAGCTCGTTCTCCTGGGCCTCCAGGACAGGTGAGGCCTGGGCAGGTTCATTCTCCTCAGGTGGGGCAGAGGCTGCAGATGTCTCTGGATGGCACGAGGCATCCTCCTGATGAGCGCTGTCCATGGAGGCAGCATAGTCCTGCATCAGGGCAGCATCATGGTCCTGAGATAGTGAGGTCTGTCCAAGTAAAATGCACCATTAGCGACCGAGGGTAAAGAAAAAGTCAAAGCCGGGTACAGTGGTTCATGCCTGTAATCCCAGCACTTTGGGAGGCAGAGATGAGAGGATTGCCTGAATGTAGGGGTTCAAGACCAGCCTGGGAAACTTGGTGAGACCCAGTCTTTACAATAAATAAAAAAATTAGCCAGGTGTGGTGGTACACACCTGTAGTTCCAGCTACTTGGAAGGCTGAGACAGAGGGATTGCCTGAGCCCAGCAGGTCACGGCTGCAGTGGCTATGAGCATGCCACTGAACTCCAGCCTGGGTGACAGAGTGAGATGCCTACTCCAAAACAAACAAAAAAAAGGCAGCAGACAGCACACAGTCTGGCTGTTGTCCTGCCCGTTGTACCCCTCACAATGTATCTTTCCTTTAATAAACCCACCTTTTCTAGTTAAAAAAAAGTACATTTTGGCTGGGGGCAGTGGTTCACACCTGTAATCCCAGCACTTTGGGGGGCAGAGGTAAGAGGACTGCCTGAGCTCAGGGGTTCGAGACCAACCTGAGCAACATGGCAAGCCCTCACCTCCACAATAAATTAAAAAATTAGCTGGGCATGGTGGTAGTTCCAGTTACTTGGAAAGCTGAAGCAGAAGGATCACCTGAGCCCAGCAGGCTGAGGATGAGGTGACTGTGAGTGTGCCACTGCACTCCAGTCTGGGCAACAGAGTGAGTCTCTGACTCAAAAAAAAGAAAATAGAAAAGAAAAAGTCACTGGATGGCAAGGGATAAATACAGGGAAGTGGGGGGAGGGTGTGGAAAATCCCAACTAGCACTCTTCAGAACATTCTGACTGGTGATTTCACAGTGTCAGAATATGCAGCAGAGAGGCTAGGTGCAGTGGCTCATGCCTATAATCCCAGCAGGTTGGGAGGCAGAGACTGGAGGATTGGTTGAGCCCAGGAGTTTGACACCAGCCTGGGTAACAAAACAAGATTTCACCTTTAAAAAAAAAAACAAGAAGATTTGGTAGGAAGTGCCTAAAGCAAGTCTCCCTGACAGCCAAAGCTCAGAGCCTCCTGGTGGTGAGGGGGTAGCCTAGAGCTCAGAGCTCAGAGGGGTTGAGGAAGCAGGTTAACATCCTTCCCACAGCGGATGGGGCCAGTGCTGAAAGAACCTGGAAAGCCCTGGAGACTAGATGCTCTTCCAAGAAGACACAGCAGAAAGGAACACATGGATGTGGGTGTTTCAGATTTAGATTGTCTCTTAACCTTTGTTCTTGCAAGCATTTTTATGTCCCCTGCAAGTAGAAATTAATCATTATATGACGGGAGACCCCAAAATCCCAGAATTATCTTTTGGAGGGCGGGCCCCTTGTAGTACAAGCTTCCTCTGCTAGGTAAGTGTCCTAGGAACCCAACAGCATCAGTGTACCAGCTAGCATTGTTGTGAGAGGCCATATTGTGGAAGAAATATCCCGAGTTGTAACAAACAGGTGACTGGTTCTTCTACCATGACAAAGCATCTGCCCACATCACACTGAGTGTTCAGCAGTTTTTGACCAAAAACAGCATGACCCCCATGCCTCACTCTCCCTATTCACCCAATCTCGGGCCAAGCAACATTTTTTGTTTACCCAGATGAAAAAAGTCCTCAAAAGGAAACATTTTACTGCTGTGGAAGAAGTGAAACAAAAAATGGCAGAAGAACTAAAAGGCATCAAAATTGACAAGTTGAAAAACTGTTTTGAGCAATGGAAAAAGTGTCTTGACAAGTGTATTTCATCAAATGGGGAGTACTTGGAAGGTGACTGACATGCAAACATATAAGAATAAATACAAAATTTTTAATAGATAAGTTCCAGGCTTTTTTTGGCTCCCCCTTATACTTTGTATCTCTTTAAGAATTATATTTATGTGTAAATATATTTAGGAGCTAAATTAGTCTATTGGGTTAACAGTCAGGATAGTGGTTTCTTGGAGGGCGGGGAAGAATAGCAAGAGGGCTCCCTGAGGCCATTCATGTTGCTTTTGGTGGGTGGCAGTTACACAGGTGGGTTTGCTTAGTGACAATTGACCCCACTGTGCTTTTCTGATTTAAGTGCTGGCCTTCGGCAGTGCCCAGTGAATCAAGATGGGATGGTTTAAGCATCAATAAAAAATAACAACTGCAGTGGATTGAAAAGATTAAATATTAAGATCCAAGAGTTCCTAGTGATTCTAAAATGAAACCTTAGAGAGAGTACAGGGGAGATGACTACAGGTCTTGCCCTTATCTAAATCATTCGTTCATCCAAGACTGGAGAAAACGCATACATTGGATCATCAGGCCCTGGGGCTTTCAGCAAAGCCATGGGCTCCCTGCTAGAGCCAGTGGAGGTAGCTCAGGAAACCCAAGAGGGCAGCAGCCTGCCTTGGTGACACTCAAGGTCACCTTTGAGGTAGCACCACTGGGACTTGAGGCAAGGTCATCCTTAGGTACATTGGCAATGTTGGTGACTCATCTTTGGCATTTCCCAGTTCCCATTCTGGTCCTCCTCCCAGCCACCAAGGGGGTGACCTTCCACATGCTCTCCCATCCTCTCCAGGCCCTCACAGGATCTATCCAACCTCTCACCCTCCATATCAGAAAATTCTTCTTCCTCATCCCCCCCCGCCACTACAAATTAAAACCTCCCAACCCTCCCTCTGTGTGCTCATTTGGAAATGTCAAAAAAGAGTAAGGGTCTTGGGCAGCCCATATTGTGTGAGACTGTCAACAGGAACAGCCTCCCTGCTCCCAACCTGCCCTGAGAAGACGTCCCAGCATGGGAGAAGGGAAGAACAGGGTGCATGGAGGACACAGCCATCTCTACTTCTCTCTGATCACAAAAGGAATAAGCATTCACTGCAAAAAAAAAAATAGAGATGCTCTGGGAATGTGTCACATGGAAATGTGCCATGCAAAAGTTCTCCGTGGTAATGAGGTGGTAAGGATGGGGGGTTCTACAACAAAGGAGAGTCTCCCATCATGTCCTTTCTTTCAACAATTTTTCTTGAAATGATTTACCAAAGCAACCCCAATCAGAAACTTACAGGTTTCCTTCATAAAAAGCATAAACTGTATAAACACAACACCATGAGCGAGTGGCTGGTTGAGTGAGGAACATACTTTGACATTTGTAAATGGAACTTTCTGGATGTTGACCAAGTGGTTGGGCTAACTTCTTCTGAGGGGGAGGCACAGCAGGTCCCTGACAGGTGCCATCTCCTCCGAGTCACCATGACTGTACCTTGGAGATCCCTGATATGATGATGGTGCTCTTCTTCCGGGGAGACTTGAGTTTCAGCTTTGAAGATTCACTGAGCTGTCGAATGGCGACTTCAGCCACAGGATCTGAACCGTTCAACACCAGCAATTCTGCCAGAGGGAAGGTAGTGCTGAGTTCACTAGCAAAAATCAAAAGTTTCACTGGCAGCTCCCAGGGATGCTGGACATGGCCTACAAGCAATGGTTAGCAAGTATTTTCTCTAAAGGACCAGAGAGGAAATAGTTTAGGCTTTCCAGGCTATTCCACCTCTGAAACAGCTTCTCCATCCTGCTTTTGCAGAGTGAAAGTAGTCAGAGACCACAGGTCAATGACTAGACATGGCGGGTTTCAATAAAACTTTATTTACAGAAACAAGTTATGGGCCAGATTTGGCCCATGGGCCATATATAGTTTGCCATCTACAACTTGATCCCCTAGGTGGTCATAGGATACTCGTTGAAGTGTCCATCTAAGATGCATGCATTTGCCAGGTATGGTGGCTCAAGCCTGTAATCCCAGCACTTTGGGAGGCAGAGGCGAGAGGACTGCCTGCACTCAGGTATTCGAGACCAGCCTGAGCAACATGGCGAGACCTCATCTCTACAATAAATTAAAAAATTAGCTGGACATGGTGGCACAAGCCTGTGGTTTCAGCTATTTGGAAGGCTGAGGCAGAAGGATCACCTGAGGCCAGCAGGTCAAGACTGTGGTGGCCATGTGCATGCCACTGCATTCCAGCCTGGGTGACACAGTGAGACTCCAACTCAAAAAAAAAAAAAATCATGCATTTTACTGTATGTAAGTTATACCTCAATAAAGAAAAACACGAAAGCAAGTAAACAAACAGACAAAAATCTCTAGATTTCAAACATTTGAAAAGGCAACATAGTCACGCCTTTTCCCTCTGAAGAGTGTTCGAACGTGCAGAGTAGCAATCAGGACTATGAAGGGCAGTCAGAAAAAGCAGCTCCTTGCTGAGGTTCATAACACCATACTGCAGCCAATCTCAATGGAGGGCTTAATGAAGCCCTGTGGCTCAGGGAACTCTGCACATGGTTTCATTTGCTATTTGCTCATCTTCCAAACCCCAGGAGGAGGGGGGTGGACACTTCTTTTTATCCCCATTTGACAAATGGAGGAAATGTCCAGCCGCCAGTAGGCAACAGAACTGGGTTGGGCAGCCAGGTCTCTTGAGTCAGTGCTGATGCTTACAACTGCCCCATCCTGCTAAGGTGAAGCTCCAGTGACAGAGCTGAGAAAGTAGCTGGATGAGGCTGGGCGCAGTGGCTCAAGCCTGTAATCCCAGCACTTTGGGAGGCCAAGGTGAGCGGATTTCCTGAGCCCACGGGTTCAAGAACAGCCTGGGCAACTTGGCAAGACCTCATCTCTACAATAAATCAAAAAAGTTAGCCAGGCATGGTAGCATATGGCTATAGTTCTGGCTACTTGAAGGCTGAGGTGGAAAGATCACCTGAGACATGCAGGTCAATGCCAGGGTGGCTGTGAGCATGTCATTGCACTCCAGCCTGGGTGAGAGAGTGCGACTCCAACTTAATAAACCAAAAAAGTAAGAAGCCACATGTTATTATAAAAGGAACTCCTCCTGTCTTGCTTTTGACTGTGGCCTGAGGATGGCAGATGCTACATGTCCAAGGGGAGTGGGTGATAAGATCATGGTGGTCAAGAATGGCTGGTATATCCAGATATAATAAGAAAGAGCTTGGCCTCCCATCCCTGGGTCCTGGCACAGACAGCCTAAAACCCTTAGAGTTTCTGAGTCTGGAGAGTATGAGAAGTCTTTTGTTATTCATAATAAGCCCCTTACAATTAGACTTAAGCGTATGCTAAACAGGATGGAGGCTGGTTGCCAGATAAACCAATCAGAGATTAAGAGGTATAACCTTTCAGTCTCCCTCACCTAGGAAGCGAGCTAGAGACTGAGTTCAATCCCTCGTGGCCAATAACATAATCACTCATGTCTACAAAATGGCACCACCATAAACTCTCTAGATGACAGAGTTCATGGCACTTCCTGGTGGCCAAGTGCATCCACATATGGTGGGGGGGGGGTGGCATGCCCCAAACTCTTCAGGGACAGATACGCCTGTACTCAGGGCCCTCCAAACCTTGCCTTATATACTTCTTCAACCAGTTGTTCATTTGCATCCTTTATAAGAAACTGGTAGCCACAAGTAAAGAGCTTCCCAGAGTTCTAGCAGCTGTTACAACAAATTATTGAATCTGGAGACCCACTATTTGCAACTAGTCTAAAGTAGAGAGGCTGGGAGCCTGGGTATGGTGGCTCCTACCTGTAACTCTAGCACTTTGGGAGGCTGAGGCGGGAGGACTGCTCAAGTCCATGAGTTCAAGACCAGCCTGGGCAACATAGTGAGATCTTGTCTTTACAAAAAAAAAAAATCAAAAAATTAGCCAGGGTACATCTGTAGTCCAGCTAGTCATAAGCCTGAGGCAGAAGGATTGCCTGAGCCCAGGAAGTCAGGGTGCCATGACCTATGATCATGCCACTCTATCCAACTTGGGCAACAGAGTGAGACCCTGACTAAACACATAAATAAACAAACAAAATAAATAAAGTTGTGGGGATGGTTTTATGGGGCTGAACCTTTAATCTGTGGGGTCTGAGCTAACTCTGGGTAGTTAATGCAGAACTGAATGAAACTGTAGCACACCCAGTTGGTGTTTGCAGAGAAACAGAAAACTGCTTGGCATGGAAAACCCACACATTCGGTCTCAGAAGTGTTGTGAATAGAGCAATGAACTTGTGTTTAGTCACGGTCCCACTGTAAGAAGACAGAAGCATCAAGAGAAAGAATTTGGTGATAACTTCTTAGGAGAAAGCTGAACTGTGATGCCCAAAGCCTCCGAGGGAGGCTGGGGGGCCTGACCTCTGTGCATCCAGTCAAGGCTCCAGATAAATCCTGGGGAAGTTGCTATGGGCCCTGGATGAACAGCGGAGGGGGAACCTGGAGGCTGGCTCCACTACCCACAGGCCAGATGAGGATCCCACAGTGGGAACATCAGCCTGAGGTCTTTTAAAAAGGGATCCTTTGCCCAGTTCAGTGACTCACGCCTATAATCCCACACAAGAGACCAAGGCGGGAGGATCACTTGAGTCCAGGAGTTCAAAACCAGCCTGGGCAACACAGTGAGACCTCATCTCTAAAATTAAAAAAAAAAGGTGGGGGGGAGGGGGAGTCCTGCCCAGTTGGAGGGTCCCCCACAGTATGAGGTGGTGAATGCACTGCTGAGGGAGAAACTGAGGAAAGGGTATCAGAAGCAGGGGCCTGCATTAAAGAGGCTGCAGATGTGGGCACCCAGCAGAGTAGTATCCACAAAACCACAAACATTTCTGCGAGGGAAAGAGGTTATTTGCTGTAAACCTCCACCAGGCTGAGAGAATACTGAACCATCTTAAGACAGTGCCCCTCAAATGAGAACTTTCCATTCCCCTGACCATCCCTCCTTGTCCCCCCTTTGACCTTGGCAAGGTCAGAAACAGGACTCAATGAACAGGGAGAGGTGAGCAAGAAAGAAGAGGCTACCTGCCTTATCCCTGAGGAGGTTAAAAGAGAAAAGTGAATCCTCAAATTTAGATTGTGCTGTGATTTAAAGAGACAGTAAGGTACCTCTTTAAAGATGTCTATTACCTGAAAATGGCCATATAAATGGGAAATTTGCATTGAGAGTGCTAGGGGGAACTACTCCTACTATACAGGTTTAAGCGGACAGCGGGGAAACAAAAATAAGGCGGTCATGGCCAGGCACAGTGGTGCCCTCCTTAATCCCAGTACTTTGAGAAGCAGAGGTAGGAGGATTGCTTGAGATCAGCCTCGGCAACATAGCGAGACCTCATCTCTACAAAAAAAAAAAATAGAAAATTAGCCACGTGTGGTGGCAGGCGCCTGTAGTCTCTGCTACTTAGGAGGCTGAGGCAGGAAGATCGCCTAAGCCCAGGAGGTCGAGGCTGTGGTAAGCCGTGATCATACCACCATACTCCCTTCTGGGTGACAGAGTGATACTCTGACTCAAAAATGATAATAATAATGAGGTGGTCATGATGATTGTGTCTTGAGTCCTATTTATTTGACAATATTAATGTAGCTGGTATGTTGAACAAGAGAAAATATAATGTTCAGAAATTTCATCAACTGAAACCTCAGCTAGGTTTTATGTTTATTTTGTTAAAGCGTTCCCTAAAACTTAGCAGGGATGTGAGTGCCACTCCTGGTCTTTGGTTAATGTGAATTTCCTTTTTATCCTTCTTAGAACCTTCTCCACACATTATTCAACAATAAAACAAAACACTCTTCCCAAACTCTAAGGAGGATAAGAGAGGCCTTGTCTTATTTTGAAAGAGAAGCCTTTTGAGAACAATTCAGAAGGTGTCAGGAAGGGGGGTCCCCATTACCTGTGTCTGAAGAAGACAGCGTTTTGCTGACGGGAGCACTGCGGCAGGAGATGGCTTGGACAGAGATGTCCTTCTCGATGACTTTCACTTTGACGGGCGTCTTCACTGGAGACTCTGCCGGGGAAGGACCCTGATTACAAGAGGGACTCCAGTACTAACTGGATCGATAGTTACCAAACAGTGGAACAACATTTATTGCTGCAACTCTGGTTCATGCCATGGGGAAGGGTCAGGTTGAACAGAACCTTAAGATTTTAGAGTCAAAAGTGCTGCTGGGTGCCCAGGTTTAAATATAATTTCAGAAACATTTTAACTAAGCCAGAATTTTCCTTTCTACTTTGCATTCCTGAACTGTGCCAAGTAATCTATTCTGGGAAGATAATACTTTTTGTACACGCAGAGAGACAGCATAAATTTTTTAAAAAACAACAAGTCATACACTTACACAGAAGTCATCTCCAAGGCAGTAGCTATGGGGGCAGGCACAGAATTCAGCTGGAGTTAAAAAGACGTCATGACAAGCCTTCTAATAAGTGACTTTTAATACAGAATCACTCTTATAGAATTTTTAAGATAGTATGTTGTCCCCACAAAAATGTAATGGAGGTGTTAATTTAATTTGGTTAGAGTAATATCAAAGTATAACTATAATATCTAGATTTAGCTTCAGAATATACTATGGGATTGAATCTTGCTTCAGCTTAGCATGCATTTTTCTTTTTTTAAGTTAGGGCCTTACTCTTATCATCCTGACTGGAGTGCAGTGACATGATCACAGCTCACTGCAGTCTTGACTTCCTGAGCTCAGGCAATCCTTCTGCCTCAGCCTCCCAAATAGCTGGGACTATGTGTACACCACTACACTCCAGTAATTTTTTTTTTTCTGAGTTGGAGTCTCACTCTGTCACCCAGACTGGAGTGCAGTGGTTGCTCCCAGCCACCGCAGCCTCGACCTGCTTGGCTCTGGCGATCCTTCCGCCTCAGCCTTCCAAGTAGCTGGAACTACAGGCACGCGCTACCACACCCAGCTAATTTTTTGATTTACTGTAGAGATGAGGTCTCACCAAGTTGCCCAGGCGGGTCTCAAACCCTTGGGCTCAGGCAATCTACTCACCTCAGCCTCCCAAGGCACAGGATTACAGACTGAGCCACCGAGCCTGGCTCACTCCAGTAATTTTAAAATTTTTTTGTAGAGACGAGGTCCCACTGTGTTGCCTAGGCTGGTCTCGAACTCCTGAGCTTAAGCAATCTTCCTGCCTCTATCTCCCAAAGTTCTGGGATTACAGGCATGAACCATTGCGCCCGGCCCTAGTTTATCATGTATTTATTTGACAGAATAGAAAGATAATTGTACAAAAACAGCAAAAAAAAACTAAGCACAAGTCTTGTCAATTCCCATTCTTCCTATGTCATGAGACTTTCCTGATAACACCCAGGGCTGCAGCCTACAGCACCCTGCAGTTGTAGAGGGAAGACACTTACAGGCCACAGAGTTCCTGCAGAGACTGTGCCCTATTGTCTCACCAGAGCTCAGTGGGGATGCCCGCCCCACATCAAAGCGAGGCTTGGTCTTCACAGCAGTGACAGTCGTGACCACGGTCCCACAGGGCATCACCGTGCGGTCCTTTTCTATCTTTGTAGCAGCAACAGGGGGAGGGACTTGCCAGGATTTCAATTCACTGGGTTCTATATAAGAAAACTGCAGAGAAGATGTGTCACTTGTTTCATAATACATGCAAAGGCTGATTAGCAACGCAATTCTGGCTTCTTTGGAAATAACAAATGATTTCTTCACTTAATGTCCCTGGATTTTCCCGGAATTGACTCTAAGACCCAAGCTCAAACACAACCAACTCAACACATAATGATGAAAACAAAAGCTGGAGAACCAATCCTTTTGGGGTTCGGCCGTGAAATGGCATCTTGGGAGAATTATTTCCTCCAGTGGATAACTCTACACTACAGCACACAGGGTGTGCTCCATTCAAGTCTAGAAATGCACAGTACCCAATAGCATCTCATCTTAGATGAGTTCTTATTTCACATGGAAGTAAGAGCAAGATTCTGGCAGATGTTAGTAAAGATGCTCCTTTTAGATCAAGGGGATCAAGCTGGAATCTGGTTGGGGGAGAGAGCACTGCTGTACCTCTGCTGTGATGGAACCCAACACGGAGCTGCCGGAGGCGGGCCCACTGGTCAGCAGAAAACTCTGTGGTCCAGAAGGCTGCTTCTTAAATAAATCTAAAGGAACAGTTGTCATGGCCAACAGACCTAAAAAGACAGGAGGCAAGGAGGGCTACTGATGTTTCCATGAGGATAAGAGGTCAACACAAGCCCCCATGGCCAAAACACACTCCGACATCTGTCCTGTTAACTTGAAAATGCTCAAGGTTCAGAATATTCTTTAAAGGTCACTGTCATAAGAGACAAAGAAAAACTGCGAAAAAAGTTTCAGGACAAAGGAGGCTAAAGAAATAAGATAATTAGAGGCCTTATCTACCTCTATCCTGGAATGAAGACAACTGCCATGAAGGACACCATTGGGTCCATGACAAACGCTGGAATATGGGCAGAAGATGAAAAAAAACGGTTTCAACGTCAGTTCAGGAAGCTGATAACTGTGCTACGGACATATGAGAGCATCCCCATTCTTGGGAAATACGTAGAGAATTCAGAGTAAAGGGCCAAGATGCATGTACTTTACCCTCAGATTGTGTGCATGTGTGCCTGTGTGTTTAAAAAGAGGGGGAGGAGGAGGGAGAGAGAGAAAGAGCCCAAGTGCAAGCACAAATAATAAAGGAAATCAGGCCAACATGAAAAACATGTAAGTGTTTCCTCTCTCTTTTTTCCTTTTTTTTTTTTGTTTTTGTTTTTTATTTTTGTGTGAATTTTGTGGACATTTGGCAGGGGTAGGGGTTGGGGTAGGAGAAACCCGTGACACTAGAATTCAATAAAACATAAAAGTTTTATATTGGAAAAAAAAAATGTGAGTGTGAGTCAAGGTTATATGGTTATTCTTTGCTTTGTTTTTGCACATTTGAAATTTCACAAATCCCATCAGGGTGGACTGGGCTGAAATGTGAATGGGGCCAGTAGGAGTGGTGACCCAGGAATATGATGAAGAGTCAGCTTCTCTCCAGGCAAATGGTAGCCCCACCCTGTGCTGGTCCCTGACCTGGAGTGCTTATCTCTCAGAGTTCTCATTTCAGGAGCATCCCAGTTACCTCATGGCTACAGAATCAAGGAAACCGCCCCAGAATTCTCGCTAACAGCTAGGACATAACTAGTTCGGAGGAATAACCACCTCTTAACTTCAGCAGGCAAACAAATGACTTGATTTCTTGGCTAGATAAGATGGGCAAGGGTATCCCCTCTTCCCAATTTTGCTGTGTTTATAGGAATTAAAGAAAAACTAGTACATACTGAAATTACTGATTTACACATATGCACAAACACAGGTCCATGTTCACTGTAGTTTTTTTGTGTGTGTCTAAATTGTGTGTTTAGACACAAAATTGTTTAATTGTTTTTTTTCTTGTGTCTAAATTGTGTGTCCAATTTAAGCCACTGTCTTATTTTATAAGGAAAAACCAGTTGAAATTCATGTAGACACAGAGTGGAATAGTGATAGGAAAGTTCTGGAGGTAGATGATGGTGATGACTGCACAACATTGTGAATGTACTTGATGTCCCTGGACTGTACACTTACAAATGGCTAAAGTGGCCAATGTTGGGCAGGCATGATGGCTCACCCCTGTAATCCCAGCACAGCATTTTGGGAGACTGAGGCAGGAGCATCACTTAAAGCTGGAGTTTGAGACTAGCCTAGGCCACATAGAGAGACCCTATCTCTATAAAAATAAAAAAGGTGAAAAATTTTATGTTATGTGTATATATTTTTATTTTGAGCCAGGGTCTCACTCTGTCACCCATGCTGGAATAAAGTGGCCCGATCACAGCTCACTGCAGCCTCGACCTCTTGGGTTCAGGTGATCCTTTAGCCTCAGCCTCCCAAGTAGCTGGGATTACAAGTACATGCCATCATGCCCAGCTAATTTGTGTGTGTGTGAGTAGAGACAGGATCTCGTTGTGCTGCCTAGGCTGGTCTTGAACTCCTGGGCTCAAGCAATCCTCCCTCCTCAGCCTTCCAAAGTGTTGGGATTATAGGTGTGAGCCATTGCTCCCAGCCATTATGTGTATTTTGCTACAATTCAAAATGCATTTTAAAAGGAGGTCTGTTGAGACTAGCAACAGCAGTTTGGAACTGCTCTAAGCCAAGAATTGTTGAATAAAAGATTTTAGAATTTTTTTTTTTATACAAACAAAAGACCGCTTGAACATTTTCCCAATATATATGCCCTTGTTAATAACCGAAATTGCCTTTCGACTAAACATTCCCTTGGGAAAACCCAAAGTGGTTTGGAGGAGGGGGTCAGCCTCCTCTGCTGGGTCTCTACCTCCCTCCCTGCCCCCAGTCTCCGCTCAGGCCCTGGATGACCTTTCCAAAGGCAGAGCCTCCGTCAGCCTGGTCAACCCACCTTCTGAGGGTCGTCCAACCTCTGAAATCTGCAGGTGCAACTCCTTCGACTTGGCATTCAACTCACTGTGGAAGCAAGAGAAGTTGTGAATCCTTCAAAATGCTTTGTTATTTTTTCAAAACATAGTATTTTTTTCTGAATATAAAAAGGAACACAAAGTCGTCAATATAGAAACTACAGAGGCAGATAAGCAAAAAAGGGAAGACGATCTGCAACCTCACTTTTCAGAAACAGTCTCTGTTAACATTTGGTACCAGACTTCTGGGCTGCCAAGAGAGCTTTCTATGATGATGACGGTGACAGAGGTACCATCAAATGTGGCAGCCGCCAACCACCAGCCACGGTAGCCCACACCTGTAATCCCAGCACTTTGTGGGGCAGAGGCGAGAGGATTGCCTGAGCTCAGTGGTTGAAGACTAGCCTGAGCAAGATGGTGAGACCTCGTCTCTACAATAAATCAAACAATCAGCTGGGCATGGTGGCACACACCTGTGGTTCCAGCTACTTAGAGGGCTGAGGCAGAAGGAGTACCTGAGGCCCAGCAGGTCAAGGCTGTGGTGGTCGTGAGCGTGCACTGCATTCCCACCTAGGTGACAGAGTGAGACTCTGACTCAAAAATTAATTAATTTAAAAATGTGACAGCCACACACCACTGGAGATGTGGCCAGTGTAAGCTGAGAAACTGAATGTAATTTTGTGCAATTTTCATTAATTTACATTTTTTTGTTTATTTGAGTTGAGGTCTCACTCACTCTGTTGTCCAGGCTGGAGTGCAATGGTACGATCACAGCTCACCGAAGTTTCAACCTCCTGAGCTTAAGCAATCCTTCGGCTTCAGCCTCCCAAGAAGCTGGGATTACAGGAATGTGCTACCACACTCGGCTAATTTTTTGATTTTTTTGTGGAGACCAGGTCTCACTATGTTGCCCAAGCTGGTTTTGAATTCTTGGGTTCAAGCAATCCTCCTGTCTCAGCCTATCAAAGTTTTGGAGTTACAGGCATGAGCCACTGCGCCAGCTATTAATTTAAATGTAAAGAACCACATGTGGCTAGTAATTACCATACTGAAAGCATAGCTATATAAATGATCTAAAGATAAAATATGGAACATGATATACTTCCTTCCTTTGTAACCTTTTTTTTTCACTGAAGGTTTTGTGGATGTCTTTCTGTGTCACTACAGAGCAACACTTTTTTAAAAATTTGAGTCGGGGATCTCACTCTGTCTCCCAAGCTGTAGTGCAGTGGCACAATCATGGCTCACTTCAGCCTCAACTTCCTGGGCTCAGGTGATCCTCCTGCCTCAGCCTCCTGAGTAGCTAGGACTATAGGCATGCATCACTACACCCAACTAAGTTTTAGATTTTCTGTAGAGATGAGGTCTTACTATGTTGTCCACACTGGTGTCAAACCCCTGGGCTCAAGTGATCCGCCTGCTTCAGCCTCCCAGAGTGCTGGGATTACAGCTTGGGCAAAATAGTGAGACTTCATCACTACAAAGATAAAAAAATAAGCCAGGTGTGCCGGCGCATACCTGTTGTCCCAGCAACTCAGGAGGCTGAGGCAGAAGGATGGCCTGAGTCCGAGAGCCATGAGTCTGTGAGCCACGAGTGTGTGAGCCATGAGCATGCCACTGTACTCCAACCAGGACAATAGAATAAGACCCTGACTCAGAAAAAAAAAAAGAAAACTCTCTCTTGTATTATTTTACTTAATTCTGAGATTGAACATCTTTTCAGAAGTATAGTGTGTTTCCAGTTTAGGAATTTTGCCCAGTTTTCTAAGGGAGTGTTCATATTTTAATAAATGATATATAAAAGTTCTTTACACACACACACACACACACACACACACACACACACGATATTTTCTTCTTCTTCTTCTTCCTCCTCCTCCTCCTCCTCCTCCTCCTCTTCTTCTTCTTCTTCTTCTTGAATCAAGGCCTCACTCAGTCACCCAGGCTGAAGTGCAGTGACATGATCACAGCTCACCATAGCCTCAACCTCCTAGGCTCAGGTGAACCTTACGTCTCAGTCTGTAGAGACTGGGTCTTGATGTGCTGTCCAGGCTGGCCTCAAACTCCTGGGCTCAAGCAATCCTCTCACCTTGGCCTCCCAAAGTGTTGGAATTATAGGCATGAGGCACCACAGTTGGTCCACTGCTTTTTCTAATTGTTTATTTTTTAAGCATTGGATAGCAATTAATTTCAATATTTTGGTAGTCAGTTACTTTATTGAATCATTTTTTTTTTAGTTTTTTAACATTATTTATTCCTATCATATATCTACCATTTCTAATAGGTTTTATCTATTCTTTTGACTAATCCAGATATGCAATGTCATCGCTAAATAATTATCTGTTTTGTCTCTTCCTTTCTTCTTCCTCTCCTATACATTTTTTTTCTTACCTACTTGCATTAACTGGAATTTCTACAAAAATACAGTGGGCATCTTTCACTCTCTCTTTTCTTTTTTTGGGGGGTGGGACAGATTTGGGGGTCTCACTATGTTACCCAGGCTGGTCTCGAACTTCTGTTTCTGGTATTTACTATTTACAGTAGTTTTTTTAAAAATTAAAGAAGTATCCATAAATTTTGTTCTAATTATGCTTTTAAAAATTAAGAATGGCTATTAAAAGCCACTGAATATCTTTTGGGCATATATAGAGATGATAAGTTTATTTTCTTCTTTGATCTAGTGTTATAATAGATTTCCCAACATCAAACTATCCTCATATTCCTGGTATGAATTCAACTGGTTTTATTTATATATTTTTTCAACTGGCCTTATTTTTAATGTGCTGTCAGATTCTATTTGATACTATTTTATTTATGATTCTTACATCATTATCTATGAGTGGTTGATACTTTTCCCTTCTTCAATTCTCTTTGTCAGGTTTCAGGACCAATTAGACATTTTCTCCTCTTCTGCTCTAGATGGTGAGTGGTTGAAGGCGAGTGGGCAACCCAACAAGTGTTCCTTCTTGTCTCAACAGGGTAGGAGAAGAAAACTGTTTCTAAGAGCTGCCTTTAAGAAATCCAAGCCAGGCATAGTGGCTCACACCTGTAATCCCAGCACTTTGGGAAGCGAAGGTGAGAGGGTTGCCTGAGCCCACAGATTCAAGACCAGCCTGGGCAACTTGGTGAGACATTATCTCTACAATAAATCAAAAAATTAGCTGCTCATGGTGGCACATACCTGTGTTTTCAGCTACTTGGAAGGCTGAGGCAGAAGGATTGCCTGAGCCCAGCAGGTTGAGGATGTGGTGGCCATGAGCATGCCACTGACTCTAGCCTGGGTGACAGAGTGAAACTTCAACTCAAAAAAAAAAAAAAAAGAAATTCACCTTTGACTTAAAGCCACCTTTAAGATGCTTGAGATACATTTTGTTTTTATTATTCAATTTTATTTTTTGGCATACAAAATGATTTTGGGATTTGGCAGTCTTGGAGAGATATAGCTGTGGAAATCCAAGCCCATGATAACCCAGGCTGTACTCACAAAGTGAATTCTTCTTCCCATGTGAGGTCAGTAGTGTTTTTCGCTACGGTGCTGGAAAACCTCTGAATAGGATTGTTCAGCTGAGCTACGCACACTGTGTTAGTGTTGCCTGTCATCAAATAAAGGAACATTGGGTTGGCTTTTATTTTTATTTTCTAATTTGCATCAAGACATTCACATAGAATAGAAAGATTAATGACCAATGACTTTAAATGTCTAAAGCTACAGCTTCCCCATTTTGGAGAATTCATTCTTTCTTTCATTTGCAACTTAAAAACTCTCCAAGAGCTGGACTTCATTGGGGTTAAGTAATTTTTTTGTACGTGATGTCAACAGCCCTGGACAGCCCAAGGGCCCTGTTCCCTCTATCAGTCCTGGTTGCAGTGGTGGCCTCCCAGGTGAAAGATCTACCCCCCCCCCCCCCCCGCCGGAGACGGACCATGACATACATGGGACAGGGCCTGTTTTTTCCACTTTTAGGCAAGATTGACAGTCTTGCCTGACTTAAATTTGGGACCATTTCTATTTTGGGGATACCGCTCAGAGAAACCCATCCCCCTACTCACAAGGTGATGTTCTACTTGATCCAGCTCAATCAAAGAACTTTTGGGAGTATTTGATCCAGATAAGGGAACTTTTCACAGTAGAACAATTGTTTTTGTTTTGACACAATGCTTCCCCTAAACTCCCACAGTGCTAAATCCTAAATATGCAGTGTAATAAAAAAACACTAGAATGTGGTGACCCTTTACCATGCAGCAGGCAATGCTAAGTTCCCTATACACCTTCTCTTACCTAACTTTCACAATCACCCTTCAAGGGGAGACTCAGACCCCAATGTAGGGACATCCTAGCAGGGGCAGGAATGGAGGCTAGTCACACGACAGATGCATGCAGGATCTGGGACTCCAACCTTGACCAACTGGGTCCAAGGAGTCCACTCTCAGTCACTCTAAGGACCATTCTCAAAGGGCAACCTACTGGCACTTTTACCAAAAAAAAAAAAATCTATAACTGGATTTGGAAAAAGTCTCAGATCTGTAAAAAGTCTGGAAGAAACCCCATACAAATAAAGATAAGTCACCCATTACATTCTGAGTCAGTAAAAAAGAACACATTCCTACTCTCTCTCTCTTTTTTTTTAATTAGAGCTGAGGTCTCACTCTGTTGCCAGGCTGGAGTACAGTAGCATGGTCACAGTTCACCATAGCCTCGACTTCCTGAGCTCTGGCAATCCTTCTTCCTCAGCCTCCCAAGTAGCTGGGATTACAGGCATGTACCACCACACTGGTTATTTTTTTTTTATTTTTGTAGAGACAGAGTCTTGCTATGTTGCGCAGACTGGTCTTGAACTAATGGGCTCAAGCAATCCTCCTGCCTCCGTCTCCCAAAGAGCTGGGATTACAGGTGTGAGCCACCATGCACAGCCTGCATTACTATTTTAGCAAAATGGAGTCACGGCATAAAGGTGTGCTCTGTCCCTGTCCCATGTGACTCCATGTCTGGGGCCTCAGAAATGACTCAGAATCACCCAGAAAGGACTATCTATTTTGCTCTCCTCATGTCTTGGTTCCAAGAATAGCTGCTGCCTCCCAGCACCAGAGGCCCTAGGAAGCTGGACACCTCATTCACCCCCCGACTTCCTAAGAAAGTAGAAGATGCACACTAGTCTGTGATGTTTAACACATATTTACAGTTAAGTAGTAAAAAAAGAAAAAGAGACAGGACTATTCCATACTAAAGAAAACAGGTCACCAATCATATTCCTTTTTTCCCTCGGCCTTCACACGGGTAAACACGGGACTAGATTTCTAACCATCTGGCATGACCATTATGTTTTTCAGGTGCCCTTCTCCTACCAAGGCAGGGCTCCCACTGCAGACACGCAGAGGGCACTACGGGAGGAATCAAGGCCCCCTCAACATACCAGGGAGCCCCCCCCAACTCTGTCCCACTCACCTGAAGCACCAGGGTCATCGAACAGCGAGGCGCAGATGTTCTTCACCAGGAGTTTGAGTTCGTGAGCCCTTGGGGGTTTGGGAGGACAGGGTTCCTGAGCAGGAGATGGAGCACGCTGTGGACTCTGCAAAATGGAAAGATAAAGATCAAGGGTCATGGGGAAACTGAGGACTGTGGAGGTGAGTGCCGGACTCTGGTGCCAGGGCGGGGGCTATAGAAAACCCTGCACAGGGAGGCAGAGCACCAGGGGCTGCTGGAAACAATGTCTCTTCTTATGGGAAGGGAGGGGATTGATGAGGCAGCACCCTTTCCCTGCTTGGGAGCCTTTTCTATCCCAAGTAAAGCAAGTGCAAGTAGCAACGCCTCTGGCTACAGAAAGGGGTCACCACAGGTGAAGACTGAGAGTGCAATTTGCAATGGGTCTATAGGGCAGGTGTTCATGAGTGTGAGGCTGACCTCTCAGGCACAGCTGTCCACTGGCCACTAGGACTGAGAAAGACACCAACCTGGCAGGAATGGTCAGGACCATCAGCTGACACCCATTTTCTCCAGGCAGGATGGAATGCCCACATGAGGAATGTCTAACCATTGCCTGGTATTGCTCAGGTGAGGGGACAGAGGTGGGGGCAGCTGGGACCAGCTTCAGTCTCATGAGGCACCAGAGCGTTTCCAACAGAAAGCACCCCCAAATCTGGAGGAGCCCAACTTTAAGCCAGTGTGTCCCCAACTGGCTTCCGTCTGTCAATCAGTGCCATGGGTCTTCTTTAATAGGGGCTCACTTAGTTACAAATGTCCCGAAATCCAGAAAGGCTTCTCAGTGGCGGCACTAGCTCCTATGCAGTGAGACTCTTCCAGGCTGAGTGAGGCCCTGTGTGCTGATTTGAGCTAAATGCTTCTTGGGGGGAACTCTTTCTAGAATCTCAAACAAGACTCGTGTACTTTTTTTTTTGAGTTGGAGTCTCACTCCGTCGCCCAGACTGGAGTGCAGTGGCCGCTCCCGGTGGTCCTTCTGCCTCAGCCTTCCGAGTAGCCGGAATTACAGGCGTGCATTACCATGCCTGGCTAATTTTTTTATTTATTGTAGAGATGAGGTCTCACCTGCCCAGGTGGGTCTTGAACCCGCAGGCTCAGGCAATCCACTCACCTCAGCCTCCCAAAGGCACGGGATTACAGGCTGAGCCACCTCTTTAGGTCCTCATGGAGAAAACACTATTCTGAGTCAGGCACTTCCCACATGTGAGCTGAGATCAAGAAGCAATTGCAGCAGCCAGACACAGTGGCCCATGCCTGTGATCCCAGCTGTGGGAGGCCAAGGTGGGAGAATTGCTTGAGCCCAGGAGTTTGAGATGAGCCTAGGCCACATAGTGAGACCTTGTCACTACAAAAAAAAAAATCTTTAAAAAAACTAGCTGGATGTGGTGGCATGTGCCTCTAGGGAGGCTGAAGTAGGAGGATCGATCACCTGAGACCAGAAGGTTGACGCTGTGATCGTGCCACTGCACTCTAGCCTGGGCAACAGAGTGAGATCCCCCAATTCAAAAAAAAAGAAGAAAAAGAAGGAACTGTAGAAGTCTTAAAATCTAGGTATAAGAGCACTGGGAGAGCCATCCACATATCTAAGATGGAGATAAAGTATTTTTTTAATTGTGTATGTGTGCGGGAAATTTTATGTGTCAACTTTACTGGGCACAGGGTGCCCAGATATTTGGTCAAACTTTATTCTGGGTGTTTCCATGAGGCTGTTTCTGGATGAGATGTACATTTACATCCACAGACAGAGGAAAGCAGGTCTCCTTCCCAATGTGGGTGGGCCTCATCCAATCAGCTGATGGCCTAAAAGGACATAAAGACTGATCCTCCCCTGGTCAGAGAACTCCTCCCATCTGACAGCCTTGGGTGGGGACACCAGTCTTTTCTTATCTTTGGACCTGAACTGAAACATAGACTCTACCTGGGTCCTCAGTCTGCTGGTCTTTGTACTGGCACTTACACCATTGACTCTTCTGGGTATCAGTCCCTCAAACCTGAACTACAATTATACCACTAGATCTCTTGAGTCTCTAGCTTGCCAGTTACAGACCTCGGGACTTGTCAGCCTTCAAAACCACATGAGCCAATTCCTCATGTATACATGAGAAATTTAGGGGGAGACCCCAAAAATCCAAAATTTATTTTTTTTAAATTGTGCATTTATTCTTGCATGTTTAAACTTCAGTCACTTTCAAAGTACTATTTGATGCAATACACCTATTGAGACTCATTTTCCACTGCTCAAAACAGTTTTGAACTTGTCAGTGTTGATGCCTTTTAGTACTTCTGCTGTTTTGTGTTCCACTTCATCCACATCAGCAAAACGTTTCCCGTTTGAGGACTTTTTCATCCAGGGAAGCAAAAAAAAAGTCGCTCAAGGAGAGATCGGGTAAATAGGGAGGATGGGGCATAAAGGTCATGCTGTTTTGGTCAAAACTAAGCATGGTGTGGGCAGGTGTCCTCGTAAATCACCCATCATGAAATGAGCAAATGTATTGAAAGAATCTAAAAAATAAATTCACTGAAGCCATCATGAGATGAGCAAATGCACTGAAAGAATCTAAAAAAAAAAAAATTTACTGAAGCCAAACTCAGCCTCTCACGACACTAGCTGGTACACTAACGCCAATGGGTTTCTAGAACACTTACCTAGTGGGGGACGCTTATGCTACCAGGTGAGCACCCTCCAAAAGATAATTCCGGTTTATTTTTTTGATCCCCTCTCAGTCAGATTTCACACACACACACAATCCTTCTGGTTTTGTTTCTCTAATATGTACGCTATTTTGATAAATCAACTCTACAAATTTACGTGAAATCATTACCAAATATATGGTAGTTTTGATCCTATTATTTTTAAATCCATGGATTGTAAAAATAAGCTATTTTATAAAATTTCTCAAAATTTGACATTAAAAGTTTATTGTCCTATTCAGAACAGTCAGCCACCTCTGATCTGAAATAAACCACCGTGACAGAATTATTGAAAGTACAGTGGTTGGGATCCTGCTCTCACCTCCCAGCCAGCTCTCTTTGTGAAAGCTGAGCCCCACCCAGCCTCAAGCCCCTGGGAGGCCACATAGACATCTGCAAGTCCCTCACTGCTCTGATCTGCTGACTAGTTGACCCTTCTGCTGCACTGTAGGCATCAGGATGATGGCTTCTAATATTCCTGTGACTCTCAGAGTCAGAGCTTAGCACAAAACACTGCAACCAACTGATATTTTGTTCAATGAATTAGTTTCCAGACTCCGCATGCTAACAGCTTTTAATACTTGCCATAATAAGAATATGAGAGCCCACATCACACAAATCACATTAAAAGTTATATTTTCAAACTGACTTTACCAAGAACCACATAATAGGGCAGATATTCTACAGAGCTACATGAAATTACTGGCAGTAAATTTTATTTTAACTTCAGGGACTATACCGGCCTGTTTTACATAGTCACGATAAAAGGATCAGCTTATGGATAGACACAGTGGCTCATGCTTGTAATTCCACTTTGGGAGGCCGAGGTGGAAGGATTGCTTGAATCCAGGGGTTTGAGACCAGCCTAGGAATTATAGCGAGATGTTGTCTCTATGTAAAAAAAAATCATAATAAAAAAATTAGTTGGGCATAGTAGTATGTGCCTATAGTCCCAGCTACTCAGGAGGCTGAGGTGAAAGGATAGCCTGAGCCCAGGAGGGCAAGGCTGTAGTGAGGTGTGATCGGGCCACTGTACTCCAGTCTAGGTGACATAGTGAGACTCTGACTCAAAAGCAAACAAAAATCAGCTTATGATTGAGAGATTTCACCTTAAGTGAAGGGTTGTTGATGCGTGAATCAGGCCCCACAAATGCCTGAACAAAAATCTAACCGAAAGTGAGCAGGGCCCCTAATCAGATGGTGCTGAAGAGTACGCATGAGGAGGGAGGCAGGCAACATGGAAAAAGAGGCTGCACAGACAAGGCCAGCCACCTTTGTTCTGCACTGCCCAAAGGACATGAACCTCCAAGAGGTAGGTGCTACTGCAGGCAGGACCGCAGCATCAGACTGGACCCAGACCAGACTGGTCTTAGCTCATCCCACCCACCTGCTCTGCTCACTTCTGGGGCAATGTTCTCATCACCGGTTGGTTTCCCAGGTCTCGGACCTGGAGGCCTGAGATCCCAGGCTCTGAATAGACAAAGTCAGGTTTTGGCTCATGCAAAGCAGGGAAGCAGGACCTGACCAGAATGGGCCTGTGCTGAGTGGGTCGGCCACCTGTGAGGTACTGTCTGGACCTGGACTGTTTCCCCCGTGCCTGGCTTCTCCATGCCTTCACCCTCAGGGTGCAGCCTCTGGCAAAGGTTTCACTCTTTTTTTTTTTTTTTTTTTTGAGTTGGAGTGTCACTGTCACCCAGGCTGGAGTACAGTGGCACACTCACAGCCACCGCAGCCTCGACCTGCTGGGCTCAAACGATCCTTCCACCTCAGCCTTCTAAGTAGCTGAAACTACAGGTGTGTACCACCACATCTAGCTAATTTTTTGATTTATTGTAGAGACAAGGTCTTGCCAAGTTGTCCAGGCTGGTTTCAAAACCTGAACTCAGGCAATCCTCTAGCCTCTGCTTCCCAAAGTGCTGGGATTACAGATGTGAGTCACTGTACCTGGTGTAAGGTGTCACTCTTAATCAATGTAATTGGACACACTGTATAGGAATTTCAGTGATTAACTTGGTTGTTTTGGTTATAAAACTACTTGTTGTACTGCCCTGAGGTGTGGATTCTTCACTGACCAGCTGCCATCTTAAAATTCTAATAAACCAATGTCTTTCCCTGCTGGATATCTGGGTGGCTTCTTTGGAATAGGCCAACATTACATGCAAGCTCTCTCAGATTTGGAGTTACCACATTACAGCACTCTTCCTTCTGTATGACACTTTGTAACCTTGTGCTCAACACCCAAGGCTTTATCCCAAGAACATGGTCAAGCATTCGTGCCGTCCTGGCCCTCCCATGGGAGGTGAAGGAACACGGAAACACAGACTCTGCAAGAGAGGTGGGCCGAGACCCCAGCAGGGGTCTGCATGGTTTTACCTGGGCTTCCTTTACATCCACAGGCTTGGCACTCAGAACCACGGATGGGGAGGCAACACTAACCAAATGCATCAAAATATCCTTGAGAGTTTCAGTCACTGTACTTGTCTCAACCACCTGGTCCTGGTGAAAAAGGAGAAAGTCATCAAATCAACATCGCATGCCTATTACCTGCTCCCAAGTTCACATTCTCAGATACCTAAGACCATACAAAGCAGGAAGGAAATTGCAGAAACTGCCCTCAGATTTTTTTTTTTAGTCATGGTCTCACTCAGTCACCCAGACTGGAATACAGAGGCATAATAATGGCTGATAGCAGCCTCGACCTCCTGAGCTTAGGCTATCCTTCTGCCTCAGCCTCCTGAGTAGCTGGGACTATAGGCATGTGCCACCATGCCTGGATAATTTTTTGTAAAGGTAAGGTCTCATTATGCTGCCCAGGCTGGTTTCAAACTCCTGGGCGATCCTTCTGCCTCAACCTCCCAAAGTGCTGGGATTACAGACGTGAGCCACTGTGTCTAGCCAGTACTAACCAGGCCTGACCCTGCTTAACTTCCAAGATAAGATGAGATCTAGCACGTTCAGGGTGGTAAGGCCATAGATTCTCAGATTTTAGATGCATCCTTATGAAAACTGTAGACAGAAATGGGGGCCTGTCCTTGGAAACCAGTCTTTGAACTCAGCCCAAGTTACAATGAAGTGCCTTCACTGTAGGAGAGAGGATCTGATAGACATGGAACGTCAAGAGGAACCTACGATTTCATTACCCTTGGCTGCACCTGAGGGTTAAAAACTTCCAGCAGATTAAATACACATCTGGTTGGGGAAAGGGACAGGGAAGGTTTCAGGCTTTCAAATGTGGCCAGGTGATTCTAGCTGCATTTAATCCATCACAGTCATCCCCCACAGCACCATCAAGCCAAAAGGCCTATCACTGTCCCAGAAGGCCCTGGCCAGCCTAGGGAGGGTGGCTGGGAATGGAGAAGGAGGCTGCCAACATCAGAGATGCACACGCACCCGTGTTCTCACACACCAACGGAAGAATCATACAGACTTACGGACTGACCTCCCCCAGAGCTTTGGGCTGGATCTGAATGGCCATTTCTGGCACGTTGATGAAGGACCACCTAACCTGGAGGTCCTCTTTCTGTTCTTTCATGTGGAACTCCAGCTATTTAAAAAAAAAAAAGTTATTGGAGGGCTGCTCTTTCCACCAGAGCTTTAATATGTGAGCATGTGAGTGTGTGTGTATACGTGTGTGCGTGTGAGTATGTACCTACTCATTTATTACTGCATTTTTCAAAAATTTATTTATTTATTTAAAGACAGGGTCTCACTATGTTGCCCAGGCTGAAGTGCAGTATCTATTCATGGGCACAATCGCATTACTGACTAGCATGAGAGTTCTGACCTACTTCGTTTCTGACCAGGGCCAGTTCACTCCTCCTTAGTCAACCTGGTGGTCTCCCACTCCCGGGAGGCCACCATATTGATTCTGCAATTAGTGTAGACATCCATTGAGCATTGCACACTACAACCCAGAACTCCTGGGCTCAAGTGATCCTCGTGCCTCAGCCTCCCGAGTAGCTGGGACTACAGGCACATGCCACCACACTCGGTTATTCATGTATTCTTAGCTTAGTTTAACTTTCCCCTTGGTATACTATGGGCTTTCAGAGCAAGGTCCCAAACCCGCTATCCCCTTCTCCTTCCTGCTCCTTCCTCATCCTTAACCTGTTGTTCAGAGAAGAATTTCAGCATTGGTGACTAAGGGCCAGATGGCATTAAAATTTTTCGGAGTCTCTTTAAAATAAACAGTCCACTGTGTTTTGCACCTCTCTTCCCAGGAGTATCACCAAGGCTTGAAGGAGAGAAAGGGAGAAGGACCAGGATGCCTCACCCTGATCCTGGACATGAGCTCCCCAGTACCCATGCTCACACATCCCTGAAGATGTGTGCAGAGTGTGGGAGCACCCTTCCCACTCTTGCCTGGGCCACCACAGCAGACTCTAACTGGACTCCACTCTCTAAGGATGTGTCCTCCAATCCTACCTATCTGTGGGAGGTCAAATAATGGTCCTCAAAGATGTTCACATGCTAATTAATCCCTGGGACTTGTGAACATGTGGCCTTCCACAACAAACGGAACTTGGTAGGTATAGTCAGAGTAAAGGATCTAGAGACAAGGAGACACATCCTGGGTCCCTTGGGAGAGCCAAGAGGAATCACATGAGTCCTTAAAAGCAGAAGAGTGAGTAGCTGGGTGTGGTGGCTGACTCCTGTGATCCTAGCACTTTGGGAGGTCAAGGCAGGCAGATTGCTTGAGTCCAGGATTTTGAGACCAAAATCCTGGGCAACATAGTGAAACCTCATCTCTATAAAAAGGTCAAAAAATTAGCTGGGCATGGTGGCACACGCCTGTAGTCATGGCTACTTGGGAGGCTGAGGTAGAAGGATCTCCTGAGCCCAGGAGGTTAGGGCTGCTGTGAGCTGTGATTGTGCCACTGCACTCCAAACTGGGCATCAGAGTAAGATCTCCAACTCAAAAAAAAAAAAAAAAAAAGCAGTAGAGAGCAAGGTAAAAGGGTGACTGTGGAAATGACTCCAGGAGGGGCACCGCAGTCAAGGAGGCGCCTGGAGCCACGGGAAAAGCCCTCTGTTGTCAGCCAGCAAGAAAACAGAGCTCGTCCTAGCACCCTGTGGAATTGAATTCTACCAACAGCTCAGAAGGAGCAAGGAACAGACTCTCCCCTGCAACCTCCACCCAGACACAGCCTAAATGTGAGCTTGGGCTCACATCTGACCTCCATGACAACAATATTATCCATCTGTGCTGTTCTAAGCTGAGTGGGTGGTCATTTGTTTCAGCTGCCATCACAAACTAATATAGCATCCTTTATATTTCATTCATTCATTATGTATTTATTTACTTTGAGTTGGGGCCTTACTCTATCACCCAGGCTGGAGTGCTATGGTGCTATCATGGCTTACCACAGCTTCAACCTCCTGGGTTCAGGCAATCCTTCCACCTCAACCTCCCGAGTAGCTGGGGCTGGAGGTACGCACCACCACACCTGGATAATTTTTGTAGCTACAAGGTCCTACTATGTTGCCCAGACTGGCCTCAAATTCTTAGGCTCAAGCAGTTCTCTCGCCTTGGCCTCCCAAAGTGCTAAGACTATAGACATGCACTACCATGCTAATATTTTGTAGAGATGAGGTCTCACTATGTTGCCCAGGTTGGTCTTGAACACCTAAGCTCAAACAGTCTTCCTGCCTCAGTCACCCAAACTGCTGATACTCCAAGCAAGCACCACCATACCCGGCCTATTTTTTACTTTTTCTAAAGCAAAATTCTTAACTTTTCACATTTTTATCCCTTCCCATCCCCCACAACAAAAGGGAAGGAAAGACTAGCTTTATGCCATCTGAGTACTTGGACCCTCACCTCCTGCTAGAAACAGGCCAGAGAAAAACAATGCCTTCTCTTGCCCTGTAATTCTGGGTAATTCTAGAAAAAAGTGCACTTTAATTACATTGCCACAGATGACTGAATTGATAGAGGTAACTGCTGTGAGTACTTTGATGCACCTCTGGCCTGAAGAACGTCAGAGAAGTGGGAATACCTCCTGTCTTTAGCATTAATTATTTACCAGTCTTCAGCAGCTGCCTTTGCTCTGGGAGGCCAGCCACACGCTGCCTTCAGAGATCAAAGAGACAGCGTGTACCTTCTGTGTCAGCCGCTTAACACAGCATGAATGCTTTGATACAGCAAACACAATCTTAGACACTACATTTCTGCATTAAGTGTTGGTGATCCTCACAGGCCTCAGTTCTGAAACATTTGTCAAATCCTGCATAACTATGACCCAGACTTTGAAAGTTATTTTTTTTCCTTGTCTTTTTTTTTTTTTTTTTTTTTTTTTGAGTCAGGGTCTCACTGTCACCCAGGCTAGAGTGCAGTGGCACAATCACAGCTCACTGGGTTTAGGCAACCCTCTGCCTCAGGCTCCCAAGTTGCTGGGACTATAGGTAGGTGCCACCATGCACGGCTAATAATTTTGTTTTTCTTTTCTTTTCTTAAATAGAGACAAGGCTCTCCATCTTGCCCAGGCTGTTTTTTCCTAATCATATTGTCTAAAAAATTGGGGGTGGGTGGGGTTTGGGAGAGCATTAACATCTGATAAGTCCATGATGACAACTCTTAACCTCCTCAATTCTCTCAAAGGAAGTGTTCTTGGGGTGTGGCTGGGGAGCCTGGCAGGTAGATTTCAGAAAAAAAGTCACTGAGGTAGCCAGGGAGTCTTGTTGGTGCTGGTGACTTAAAACCACACCTTTGTGAGGAAAGCATCGTCTTCCCTTGCAATTTAGAATTCTGCATGGCTTGGGATCAGTCCCTAAAGGAGGAGCCTGCCAAGTACAAGGAGAGAGGAAATGAGACACAGGGTTGGACTGGCAGTAACCCCTGAAGTAGGGCCAAAAATTGGCAATTATTAAACACCGGCTCAGTGGGAGCTAGAGTGAGCATTTTGCCTAGCATGAAAGATGTGCAGTTATCACATCTTTAGGGCCCAAAAGCAGCACGGAGTCTACCATGATCACTATAGCTCTGTAAGTCTCTCACTATAAAAGTATATAGAATGCATATAAAATAAGTCTATTATTGCAAGTTTATTATAAAATCAATGGAATAATAATACTACTTTTTTACTTATAAAAATTATAAGGAGCCCTTTTATTTGATTTTTTGATTCAGAGTCTCACTCTGTCACCAAGACTAGAGTGCAGAGTCATGATCATGGCTCACCACAGCCTCAAACTCCTCAAACTCCTGGGTTCAGGAGATCCTTCTGTTATGGTCCGAGTAACACTCGGCTGCTTTCCCTTGATACCAATAAATTAAGAGCAGGGAACTGGTAGAAAAAGATTTATTTCTAAATTCAAAACCAGGGAGCAGAGCTGGGCTTCTGGTCTCTTTAAATGGTTCTGCTCACCCTTCAAGTTTTACAGTCTGCTTTTATAAGTTCAGGGTAGTTGGTACCTATACACTGACTACGTGATTAGCAGAGCATTGCATAGAACTTAAATATCAGCCACACTTTGTCAATAATGACATTTTATGGTCCACATTTCCTGGCGCCAGTTACCAGGGGTATCTCACAGCTTCTTATAAGTAACACCAGGCAGAGGTGTTAATCAAGCTTGCCATGAGTGAAGAGAGTTAACGAGGTCTAAGACATCATACATTGCTCCATGTTGCTATACACAAAAGTTACACAAATCACAAGTTACCTTGATACTATGTTATTCACACCTGTGACTACTAAGAAAAGGGAGTAAATGGGAATTTACCTTTCTCGTTAATTGGGCACAGTCTGCAGGGAAGTTAGGAATTCTTTGAAGTTACTTACTAGGAGTGCACAGGAGATAAGGGGAAGTGATCCTTTTGTTAATTCTCAGGAATGTGTGTATGTGCAGGAGCACTGGAACTCTTGCCATGCCCTTCTCCAGGGGTTGTGGCAATACGGACAGACCATAGCAGGTCTCTGTATCACTTCCTCTTCAGCCTCCCAAGTAGCAGGGACTATAGGCGTGCACTAATATAGTATCCTTTATATCTCATTCATTATGTATTTATTTATTTTGAGTTGGGGCCTTACTTTGTCGCCCAGCTGATTTTCTGATTTTTTTTTTTTTTTTGAGACAAAGTCTTGCTATGTTGCCTAGGCTGGTCTCAAACTCCTGGTCTCAAGCAATCCTCCTGCCTTGGTCTCCCAAAGTGCTGGGGTTACAGGTGTGAACCACCATGCCCAGCAAGGAGTTCTTTAAAAGTTGATTTTTTTCAAAAACTAAAAAGAGGAATCTTCCAGCCTGGCGCCTCGGTTCCTGACTTGGAACCAGAGTCTCCCTTCTCAACTCAGATGCCACTTACCTTGTTCTACCAATGAACACCTTGACTTGTTTAAATGCCTGAAAGTGGTAGCCTCTGCATTTATGTGCATATATGTGTATAGTGTGTGTGCACTCATACTTTTTAATTTCCCATACATACAATATGGAAGCTTACAGTGTGAAAATGATGGCACAAATGTTAGTTAATAAAAACATGAATATTTACAGCCCTGTAACTCACACCATGCTCACTCTTCGAGTTTGTGCTTCCCATGACTTGCAAAATTAACCCACCTTTACCTGTAAATGAAATGGGGAGAGTCGCACGTCGTACAGCTGGCGTCCTGCAGCCACAGTGGGAGCAGGCCCTGCACTGACCAAGAACTGAATGGCTGGGCCCTCAGCGTAACAGACCGCCATCTGCAGGAGGGAAGTGAACACGTGCAGATTTATCTGAGAGAAGGGAGAGCTCCCGCCATAGGCATCCCCATGTCACTGAATAAAATAATCTGGATTTGATACATTAGCAAGGACAAGAATTTAAAGTTTCAAACTTGACTATTTAGATTCATGTCTTTTTTACTAGGTAGTGCTTTCAAAACTGGAAACCATATTTCAGATCTCTGCTTTCTAATGAATTTCTAAGAAGCTAAACTCTGACTTGACCAAATCTAGATGTTATGCCCTTTCTATATACAACAAAGTTCTTGTCTTTGTCTGTGCATTGCTTTGTTTGGTCCTGTGGTGGGGGTCAGCAGTTCTTTTGGGAATGTGAGGTCGGTGTGAGAACCCTCAGCCTCCTGGATCACCCAGGAATGCAGTAGCGTGATCACAATAATCACAGTTCACAGCAGCCTTGATCTCCTGGGCTGTGAAGGCAAGTAGCTGGGATTGCAATGCCCATGCCCAGCTAGTTGTTTTTATTTTTTGTAAAGACGATGTCTTGCTGAGTTGTCCAGGCTGATCTTGAACTCCTGGGCTCAAGCAATCTGCCTGCTCCATTCTCCCAAAGTGCTAGGATTACAGGCATGAGCCACTGCACCCAGCCAGTTTTTTTATTTCAATATGCTTTGTTCTATTTCTACACAGCAGCTGACTTTAAATTCCCCAGACATTTCCACATTCATACAGAATAAACATCACTAGTCATCTTCCCTGGCTAAAAATGAGTCTTACAAAGGTTAATATATAGATTGTGATAGACAGATATTGTACTATCTATATATTACAAGTAGAAAACATTTTTATTAACCCAGAACACAAGAAATTGTTTCCACCTAATATAATTTTTAATGTATCATGGTTTCCAAAAATATGGTTGTAATTCAAAGCACCCATAAAATATCAAATAATTACCATATAATGCAGCCAGGCCAAAACAGAATTATAAAATGAGCTCATATGAGAATCTATAAGGCAGAGACCAGTCATGATATCAGGACTAAACCAAACTATATTCCATAAAGCACTGTAGAGGGGTAGTTTTTTGTTTGTTTTTTTGCTAGAGTCTTACTCTGTTGCCTAGGCTGTGGTGCAGTGGAGCACTCACGGACACTACAGCCTTGACCTGCCAGGTTCAGGTGATCCTTCCACCTCAGCCTTCCAAGTAGCTGGGACCAGAGGTACAAGACACTGCACCCAGCTAATTTTTTAATTTATTGTAGAGACGGGGTCTCACCAAGTTGCCCAGCCTGGTCTTAAACCCTGGGATCAGAGAATCCTTTCACCTTGGCCTCCCAAAGTGCTGGGATTACAGGCATAAACCACCATGTCTGGCCAAGAGGTGATTTTTGTAGCTATCACAGCATAGAGGAATATCTAGTTGTTGCCACAGAATCCCTCTACAGAAGCAGTTCTAGAAACAGAGGTCAGCAACATGCTGGGCAGAACACCAAGCAAGTATGGTGTTGAATAATTCCCAGGCCAGGTGCCGGATGTGCACAGGCCGGGAGGGGGAGCTGTGAGGTTGGGGGGTGTGTGTTGGGTGTGGCCACTGGACTGGCACAGGGGCTCTAGGAGGTGGCCAGTGTGTTTGGTCAATGTGGAGCCTGCTCTCAGGAGGCTGAGGGTTCTCACACCAACCTCACATTCCCAAAAGAACTGCTGACCCCCACCACAGGCAGTCACTTGGGAAGGAAGAGAAAATTCTTTAACTCCCTAGTGGCTTTATGGGAATCTAAAATGTCAAGTGGACAGATTACCAAAATAATTACTTTGTCGGGGCCTGTTATTTCCCAAAGTTCAGGCCTAGGACACTCCCCCTTTCCTCTCTCAACCCCTGCCTTCCCGCCCCAACCAGGCCCTTGATCCAGCTCTCCCACCCCCCCACCTCCCCACCCCCACCACTGGAGCAGAGACGTAACCTGTGTGCCTGGCCTCTGGCAAGGGTCAACTTCCAACGTCCATGATCAAAGGCCTCAACACCACAGACCCAGAAAGAGAAAGTCCTGCCTTTTCCTAATATTGGTAGAAATTTGCCCAACTCATTTTCACCCGTCCTTGTAACGCTGCTGTCAAAGATGGATTCACCAGGATTAGTTACACATATCCCTCATCTCCAGAGTACACAAAGGGTAGGAACAAAAAAATGTTTATATAAGAAATGTCATCTATTCATGTTAAAAATAAATAATCTATAAACAATCCTTTCTGAAGGAAAATAATTTGATGCCAGATGAGTTACATACACTGATGACATGATATTGACATGACAAAGTTCCTGTCCTTTGTCTCAATAGCCCACGCCTTTTCTGCTTAAAGTAAAAAGAAAGAAAGAAGGAGAAAAAGACAACAACTTGGCGTATTTCTCTTATTTCTTTTGGAACCTTTTATACCAAGCTAATCAGACTTTTACCAAGAAAACAGACAGCTTGCTTCATTATTTGACTCAACAAAGAAAGAATTTGGCTTCCCTTTATATCTGGTTCTACAGAAAGCTTCTCCCCACCCCTCTCCCCGATACACAGAGAACCCAAGCACTTGACTAAAAGCAAGTAAATAAGTAAACAAGTAAATAAATAAAATAAAAGAACTGTAAAACGTCTAGAATACAAGACTCCAAAGCTCACAATGAACCATTCAAGCTGTATCACTCCAAGTAGTGCAATCACTAAATGGGCAAAGTCAAGGTCAGAAATTCTTATGTCTCTTCATAGTAACCCCCTGAAGTATCTTCCCCATCCTAGGGCTTTCTAACCCTCTAGATAAAACAGGTCATGTAGACCAACCCTATTATGGCTTCCCTTCAGTGCTTAGCTGGAAAATTTCATTAATGAAACAACCAGAACGTGCCTCAATATTTTGACGTGGCCAAACAAGACACTACTCCTGTGGCTGTGGGGTCCACTTAGAGGGATAACCATAAGGGCCAAATCCTTTTCCAGGGCCAGTCCTGACTTCTCCCACTCTGATAAATAATGCCCCATTTGTCAAATGGATGGGAACAAAATGGAAAGAAGGTTTTAAAAACAAGTAATCTTCTTTTAGCATATTAAAGTGTTATCCACAATGGGGATTAAATTCTCTCAACCCATGCAAACAGTGGCAAGGCCTTCACCATCTGAGAGGGGTCTTCCTCGTGGTCTGGCAGAAGGCAGGATCACCTGATGCCAAGAACAGATTCTTCCAACTAGTCAGCCTTCCCATGTGGCCAGATGTCAAGAGTTAACATGTACCTAAATACCTATGAGTGGGTGGAGACTTGATCTTGATCCTGAAGTCTCCCAACTCCAAACCCAGCAGTTCATGAGAATCCTCCCTAGCTTTCCATGTGAGTGCTGTAGACAATCTCAACTATATGGAACTGTTTAAATATAGTCTAGAAGTCCTTATTGCTTGGGCTTTAAGGATTCCCCTCTGAAACAGTGTGCTATTAGTATGGGATTTTTAAAAAAACTTAATAGACGCAATATCCTGTATCTGCAGCAGTGATAGTGGACTTCTCCGAGGACAGGAATTGTGGGGTATGGTCAGGACATGGACTGTCCCCCCTCCCACTTCCTCCAGGGAGCAGCCTCTGGCCAAAACTGGTCTCTGAAGGATATGCATATTCCCAGTAATGAGTCAAAGGGTAAAGATGACCAAACAAAGTTGAAAGTTGGGTGGTCCTGTGCAATGTAATTGTAAACACAGAATAGAAATTTGAGTAACTGACTTGCTTGCCTATAAAACTGTTTGTTGTACTGCCCCAAAATGCGGTTTCTTTTCTGCATCAATCTGTCACCACTGGTGTCTCATGGGCAGAACCTTTCCTCACCGACCATCCGCCATCAGTGCCTCCTGTAAGTTCTAATAAACTGATGTCTTTTCCTGCTGGACCTCCAGGTGACTTCTTTGGAATAGGTAAAGAACCTTACATGTAAGCTCTCTCAGCTTTGGGGCTGCCGCATTATAGGAATGAACCCACCTATAGAGTAAAGCAGGACTCCACAGAGTCCTGGTTGAAAACAACCAGCTGTTGACCTGCCTGCTTTACTTTTGAGACTTTTTTCCCAAAGCAAGAATTTCTCCATCCCATGAGCCATTTCAAAATCAAGCAACAGAAGGCTGAACTTTGTATTCCAAATAAATACCTTCCCCTCCACACAAGTGAGGGAGTGTTTTCTGGATGGTAGGCTACATGGCTAAAGAAGGGTCTCAAAGGTGGAGAGCCAAGGGGCATGAAACAAGGACTCATGGTTGGCAGGTGATGGCTAGAGTATCTCTAGGCAGTGAAGGAAGTACTATCAGAAGGTGAAAGGAGGATTGAAACTGCCCTTTTCTCTTTACCTAGCCAAATTCCTAGGGAGCCCGGAGAGACAGCCTTTTGATAAACTTTTTCTTTTTTCTTTTTGTAGAGACAAGGTCTTATTATGTTGCCAAGGCTGGTCTCAACTCCTGGACTCAGGCAATCCTCTCATCAGGCCTCCCAAAGTACTAGGATCACAGGCGTGAGCCATTGTGCCTAACCAGACACTAAGACTATTTAACAAGGTTTACTTTCCAACCTGACTCTGGTATAACATCACATAACAGATAAATAAGAAAAATAAAAGTACTTTATGCTCCAGTAAAGTTACCTTTTGGGGACTCTGGGCACCCTTTGAGACACTTAACTGCTTTCTCTGAAGTCTACCACCTATTAAGCTTCATCATCAAGAAACCTGTTTCCTTATTGTCCTTCAAGCTAACCGTTTCCTTACTGCTTTCAAAATTCCTTAGATAACTCTATGCTAACTGTCAGAAAATCTCTGTATCAACATGTAGCCTGAGGGCCCTGCTTGGAAATGTCCCACCTTCTTGGACCAAACCAGTATACATCTCACATGTATTGATTTATGGTTTCTTGTAACTTCTGTCCTCCTCAATTGTATATAACCAAGTTACAATTCAACCATGATGGGCACATGTTCTCAGGACCTCCTGGGGACTGTGTCACCAGC